TCCCCACAGTCGAATGGGTCCAAGAGGCGGTTGTGTAATTGAGAGGTAAAATCAAAGAGACATCACACAAGATAAGGCATGCAAGGGCTCACTTCTGAGACCACCATGACTTTAGGAGCCAGGTCCATGCAGAGAGAGAGAGAGAATATATTTCCAACCAAGGCTTACACATACTCTCGGGGAGTGCTAGACCCCTAAGTACAGGTAACCACCTATGTCACCAAGTGGGCTGTACCGTAACCCTAGTGGTCCCTGAGGACATTGGAGACTAACCTAACACCAGTGCCAGGGGCAGGTAAGGGGGAGCGGTTGTACGCAGAGCCTAGAGAGTAATAGCAGGTACTATAGTTAAAGCTTCCGGCTACACAGCAATCAGCCATGTGCTTGTAAGAGGTAACTTTAAGGTAGCCCTATGATGGGAGGATATAGTGGGAACAATATTAATTATGAGAATGTGATTAGGACTCACCTCCAATTCACATGGGTGAAGGCCTCCCTCCACCCCAGAAACCCAGCCTGCCAGGCTTCTTAATGTAAGAGACTAAAGGTTTCATCCGTGTCCACGCTTTTCCCATTTTCGGTTTCCCACACCCTGGTAGATTTAAAATACTGGTGTCAGAGCTTCTAACAGTGGAGCAACACGTTTGTCCTGACAGCCATCTGTTCGTTTGTAAGACTGTGGTGGCTTGCATGTTGATAAACTGCTATTCTCCCCTTAACATCTAGCTCCCAATTTCTCTAGGGGGTCTTTCTTGGCTGGAGCAGGCGGACCCTTCCTCAGAGTGTCTCTCGCACTTATCATAGTGCACAGGGTGCACAGCCGCATCATCTTGTGGTGATGCATCTCTCATTCCCACTAGATGTCCGGGACCCTCGAGGGTTCGGGTGACATCTTACTGCTAGGGTCACTCCGTAGCTTAACTCGCTCCAAGTCTATGCTCAGATTTGCTCAGGACGCTTGACTATCACTCGTGGTGCTTGGTATCATTGTCAATAGCACCACTTTGTACTTTCAAAAGGTCCTAGTTTGGATGACAAAGTCCGTGTTCCACCTACTTATTTATGATTAGGTCACTGTCCACACAGAGTTCATGTTTTCAAAGACATCATCAAATGAAGAAAGGGTGGAGACATGTGTCCACTCCCCACCCCCACCCCCGCCACTGCACATACCTCTCTAGCACAAAGAAAGGTGAAGGGCAGATAAGACACATGGAGACACTGGAGATAATGGAAGACTTGTCAATGGAAGACACTGGAGATAGTGAAAAGGTTGGGGGGTAAAAGGCAAGATCTTCGCACTGCTGTAATGACTGAGACCCGAGTTTGGTCCCCTGCAACAAGACCAGGGCACAGCATGAAGCCTGGAGTGCTGGGAAGAGGGGTACGCCACAGGGGACCAGCCAGTCGAAGAAGATCTGCCAGAAAGCCAATCTGTGATGGAAGGTCGGCCGTTAGTAGAATGTAAGATCGGGCTCTACATTCTACCAGGGCCTTTTACACTAGCTAAGGACCCTTCAGACTTGTTTTCCAAAGTATTTCCTTCAATAAACTCACTCTTTCAGTTTAAACAAATCATCCATAAACAATTTTTAAAAAGAATTCTAAATAGCATGTGCCAAATATCTCGAGATTATAGAAAATAGGGCATTTCTGAGATTAAAATTAAAACGTTTAAAGCTATAACCTAAAAAAATAAAAAGAAAACAAATCATCCAATAAATGTATGCGTTTGAGTGAGTGATTCTCCCAAGATCTCATGGAATTACTTCTAAATTCTGGCTTACACATTCTGTGATTAAAATAAGACAATTGCCAACATCATGTTTCAGTGCCTACATATTAAGATTTGTTGTACTTAATATGGTTCTCAAAAAAATTTTAAGTCAAAAATGAATTCTGTGGCTCTCAAAATTGAGTCAGAAATTCAAAACACTACAACTTGCCCTTCGGGTTCATCTTTCCCTTGAAAAGATCCTCCACACGGAATTCTGTGGCATGAAACACATTCACACCTGACCAATGAGTCTGGTTATAAATACACATGAATGACAGGAGATCATCTCATGCCCCTGGACCCCATCCTGACCAAGAGCAGAGCAAAATCTCACTTAGATTCATCTTTGATTTGCCTAACACCAAATCAGTATGTGGAAAAAACTACCATAAGGAATAGCCCATTAACATTGCTGCATCTTGACTTTTTAATTGTCAGCCTCAGCTTGTCATGTTTATCCATGTATCTCACTGCCAAAATTTACTATAGTTAAAGCCGACCTTGCACAGTGTAAATATTCTACAAACAGTAGAAAGTTACAAGTTAAAACTGTTACGGAGTCGTGCCCAACAAAAACCACTGACCACAAACCTGTAAAAGCTAAGAGTAAGTTTATTAGAGAAAAGACAAAGGTTAGAGAAGAGCAAATTTAGCAGGTAAAAGAGAAAGACAGAAACAGACAAGTTCGAACTCGGACTACAGCCTGACCACGCAGGGTCCAAGACTGCAGTGCCAGGCAAAACTTTCTCCTTCTCTTTATACACTTCAAACCAGCAAAGCGAGGGCGGTAGAGCATGGGGTGGTGAAGGACGTTTGCACAAGATACCAAGATGCGGGCAGTCTGCAAGGTCACAGTTGTTTACTTTTACAACTTATTTCTCGTCTGCTAGAGATAACATAGTTTTACTTTTATGACTTATTTTTCTAAAAACATTCTCTTCTTAGAGCCAGGTCCGGCCTATAATCTTTTTCGGCCACAGATGTTCCTCTGGTGACAGTTTAACCACTTATGTGCACAATTATCTTGCCCAGTCATTCTGACCTGCAAAACTCAGTGGAAAGAGAACTAAAATGGCTGTAAGGGGAAATGGAGTTAGATAGGGATAAAAGAAATTTAAGTCTAACAAGATATACTGTAACAAAAACAAGCAACCCTACATTGAGTAGTGCTCTGTTGGGTACATGTAGCAAACTGATCTTCCCTTCTTCCCCTGTCGGGCATTTAGGTTATTTCCACTTTTTTGCTCTTGTGACAGTGCAATGATGATGCTTAAATTAAACCCTCATTTATAAAGTGCTATGGATTAAAAGACTATGATTTTTTCCCTGCACGTTAGATGCCCCCATAATTTTTTTACAAATTGGAAATTAATGAAACTTGGCTTCGTTTTTTTGTTCTGTTTATTTCTTTAAAACGTTTTTAATAATGATTTTATTGGGGACTCTTGCCGCTCTTATAACAATCCATACATCAATTGTATCAAGCACATTTGTACAGATGCTGCCATCATCATTCCCAAAACCCTTTCTTTCGACTTGAGCCCTTGGCATCAGCTCCTCTTTTCCCTTTCCCTCCTTGCCTATGCTATTAACAAAAACCGTGAGAGGTAAACTCTGAGCACCGTGAAATTCCCCTGCTGTGAAAGAAAACAAGTTTATTTGCATAAGTTGCACATTTCTACCTGCCATGACTCACCAAATAAAAATAAACTTCCCCATACAGCTCTCTACAAAGTTATTTCCGTGACAACAAAAACGTCCCGAGGTACATTAAAAATAAACGCCGCACTGCATGCGGAGTGCACCACAGAGTGGATGCTCGCAGGTGCACTTGGTTCAATCTAACACTTTGTCCTTTGGGCTCCCTTTGGATCCATTTTAAATAGCTTCTAGTTTTTAATTTATTTTTTTTTTAAGCAAAAGGGAAGAAATGTATTGGAGCCCATACAGGAAGCCCTAGAGGGGCCCAGCATACCCTGCTGTGTAGGCATGCCCAGCCAAGGGTCACACCAGTCACTGTACCCCCATGTCCCAGAGAGACTCCCCTCAAGCCGAGCCCCAAAGCCCCAGGACTGGCTGGGAGTGGGGAAGTTTTTAATATTTTCTGCATCATTTTCCATTGAGGTTTTCCCTCTGTTTTGTTTTGTTGTTGTTGTTGTTGTTGTTGGCTTTTAGTTTTGTGAGGTTTTCTGTATGTTTTTCTGTATTTTAAATCCAGGATGGGTAAATCTTTAGAGACAGTAACTGGGCGAATGATTTCTTCGGGCTGTGGCAGGGGAGGTGGTGGAAGGAAATGGGGAGCTAATGATAATGAGTACAAGAAAGAAGAAAATGTCCTAAAACTGATTGTGGTGATGATTATCCAATTCTTCTTAATATGGTTGAACTATTTAATTACATGATATGTGAATTATATACCAATAAAGCTGTTTAGATATACATATAAATCCCTGCATGCCTTACAATGTTTTAAAATATATATTTAACAGTATTTTATAGATCAGATCACTGTTACATTGCTGGTCTAAGATAGGAATAATTGCAGTTAATTACAATTTGAGATTAAAAAAAGAAAGAAAGAAAGAAACCTACCCAGTTACTTCTAGATTTTTTTTTAACTTCTAGATTTTTTAAAGGTTAGTTTCAGTCTCTTTGAAGAACAAGCTAGAAACATTAAATAAAACTAAAATATAGACACCAAGCAACTTCACTTGTGTATATGTTCTCTGGAAAAGGGCTTCTCAAACTTTGGTACCAGTTCTCCATATATCTTAAAAATTACTAAGGATGCCAAAGTGATTTTGTTTCTGTAGAAGATAATATTGATATGTACCTTATTATAAACTAAAACTAAGAAACATATTTTAATCCAAATGGCAAAACCAATATTTAGAAAAGCTAATAAATTGTCTTCACTGTTTAAATATTCTTACATGTATATTTTCTTGATTTTGCTAGGTCTCTAGTTTCTGGTGAGAGATTTTTAAAACGGCATGTAGAGAAAAACTGTGGTGCCCAGTAAGTGTTCAATAAAAGCTTGAAGACAGAAATGAGGAGCTGATATCAAGGGCTCAAGTAGAAGGAAAATACTTTGAAAATGATGATGGCAACATATTTATAAATAAATGTGCTTGACACAATGGATGAATGTATGGATTGTGATAAGAGCTGTAAGAGTCCCCAATAAAGACATTTAATAATATTTTTTTTTAGTGTGAGGGTGATCACTTCTCACCCTTTTGGCTAAGATCATGTGTGGGATCTGTTCTTATCAGTTTAACATCTGATACGACCTCAATCCAAAGACAATAGATTAAATGGATTTTTGGAGCAGAGAGATGGGATCTGAGATTGCTCCTTCCCTCCACAAATTCACCTGGTATTGCAGTATCTTCAAGAATGGTGCACCCCTTGAGGGGGGGGGGGCATTTTTTTAAGTTAAATGCTGATGATGATGATGGAGGGAGGAATGCATTCATGGCTTTTAACTTTGTTTGTGCCTGTTTTTGCTTATTTCCCTATTCTTAATGCCCAGCACATAATGAGAGCCCACTAGATATTGTGGCAAAAAGGAGGAAGAGAGAGAGAGGGAAGGTAAAAGAGAGCAAGGAAAGCTAATTATGATTTTTTTTTTTAAAGAAGTAAATTACTCTAGTCTTCAGAGTCCTTTCCATCTCTATGATTTGAGCACATTAGTAACTGTGACTAAAAAGCCATGGGGAGTTACACACCTCCCCCCCCAAAAAAAACCCACATAATTCAAATTTTAAATGATCAGAAGATATAAGCAAAGAAGACAGTCAAGTGGTCAACAAACATGAAGAAATGCTCATGATCATTTGTCATTCAAGAGATGCATATCAAACCAAAAAGATCTCCTTTTTAAAAAAAATCATTTTATTGGGGACTATTACAGCTCTTATAACATTCCATACATCAATTGTATCAAGCATATTTGTACATATGTTGCCATCATCATTCCCAAAACATTTTCTACTTGAGCCCTTGGTATCAACTCCTCTTTTTTGAAGGTCACTTCTTACTGAGCAGTAATTGCAAAGCAGAGAAGAGAAAACCACCGACAGTTATAAGACCACACAGAAAGGGGACCATCCTCGGCTAAAGGTGGGACCATACAATGAAGCAAGCACTGTGGGAAGCAGGGTGCCACTTCCTTTACAAGCTGGGCCTGGAGCTGCCATGTGACCCAGCAGTCTCACTCCTATAGATCCTAGAGAAACGAGTTGAGACACGAATAGATACATGCACACCCATGTTCATCCCAGTACAATTCAAAATAGCATAACGATAGACAAACAAGCGATTTGCCCATCGGTGGCAGAGTGGCTGTACAAACTGCGGTGCCTAACAGCAATGGCAGACTACCCCAAGGAGCAAGGAGGACTCTGGGAAACACCCCATCACACGAAGGGCCCTGGAGCACATTATCTGAGTGCAATCCGTCAATCACTCAGAGATAACTATGGTATGAGACCACTATTTAAAGTCAAGAAAAGGTTTTCACACCAAAGGAAACATTCTTGGACGGTTTCCAGGAGTGGAAAGAGAAGTCACTGGCTGGAGGTACTAGGTGGTAACTAGGATGAAGGAGAAAGCAATAGACACCAAGAGGGAAGTTGGCAAAAAAAACCCAAAAGGTTGGAGATAAGGGAAGACATTAGGAGGAGTGTGAGAGGTAAAGGCAGCTCTCCTGAGAAGCAGAAATAGGAATCTGATTACCAGACCCAGAACAAACAATCCCTTCGATGTGAGTGAGGGAGAGTGCAGAGTGGAGACCCAAAGCCCATCTAGGCAATTGGTAGACAATTGGACACCCCCTCACAGAAGGGTCACAAGGAAGAGATGAGCCAGTCAGAGTACAGCGTAGCACCCATGAAACATACAACTTTCCTCTAGTTCTTTAATGCTTCCCCCACAGACACACACACACTATCATGACCCCAATTCTACCTTACAAATCCGGCTAGACTGGAGCAGGTACTGTACATGGGTACAGATAAAAGCTCACAACACAGGGAATCCAGGACAGATGAACCCCTCAGGACCAATAATGAGAGTAGTGATACCAGGAGGGGAAGGGATATGTGGTGGGAGAAAGGCGGAACCGATTACAAGGATCTACATATAACCCCTCCCTGGGGGACAAACAGCAGAAATGTGTAAGACATGAAAAAATAATAATAATTTATAAATTATTCAGGGTTCGTGAGGAAGAGAGGGGAAGGGAGGAGGGTAAAAAATTGAGGAGCTCAAGGGCTCAAGCAGAGAGCAAATGTTTTGAGAATGATGATGGCAACAAATGTACAAATGTGGCTGACACAATGGATGGATGGATAGATTGTGATAAGAGCTATACGAGTCCCCAATAAAATGACTTAAAAAAAAAAAGAAGAAGGAATCTTATTACCAGCAAGAGCCAGGGGTGGACTGCGCCCTCTGGATCCAAGATCCCTGTGCAGTGAACCTCTGGATCCAGAGGACAGCTGTGCCATCAGAGGAGCGGCAGCAGACGCAGGAGCCAAAGCACAGAACAGAGTGATGGACTAACCAACCCACAGAGCAAGCTGAGATGAGTGTTTGTTCAGGAAGCTGGCTTTCAGATTGGGGTGTCCCTGGGAACTTCACTGGGGAAGTTGGACTTGCTGACCCACAGAGTTTGCGCTAAATACTTCCAGGTTGAGCCTTACTGCAGAGTGGTATACTCCTTTGGGCATTTATTAGCAGACCTGAAACGTTGTAATTTGTCCTGATAAAACTCAACCCTGAGCATTTCTCACTGGCATTACAACCTGCTAACTTCCTTAACAAACCCTTTAATCTTGGCTGGGGCGGGGGGCAGGGGGCTAAAGGTAACTACTGTTATTTACACAGTCAAGCAATAACAGTGATCTATGAGTAGAGGCATGGACAGACATGCAGACTGAATGGCTGTGGGAGGAAAAGTGGGACCCTACTCTTGAATATATATTGGTCTCACAGAAGAAATGTCTACACATGTATTTACTTAGGCTGCAAACATATTCATGGATGTGGTAGAGCACACAGGGAACAAAGTTATGAAAACATCTTAGACATAGCCAACACCTTGAGGGAAGGGGTCACTGGCCCTGGGGCTCAACACCATCGTCTCAGGGGCCCCAAGGACAGCTGACATCACAGAATCCCAAAAGACCATGTTCTACATCCTGCTTGGGTGAGTAGCAACTGGCCTCTTCAAAGCTTGAGAGCCACCATCTCAGGTGCAACTATTAGTCCCTTCTCACAGGAAGGAAAGAAGAGTTGAGGAAAACAAAGATGCATGGAAGCAATTAAACTGATGGGCCAATGGGCCATGTGAATCCCTTCCTCCATGACCTTGAGACCAGAACTAGCTGGTTCCTGGCTACCACTATCAGGTGCTCGAAAAGGGATTGTGCTAGTAGGTCCTGGATAGGGTGGGGGGAAATATGGGCCAGAAGTCAAAGTCACGAAGAGACCAGGCTTACTGGTCAGATAAAGATGGTGGGACTCCCATGGCTGTTAGTCATCCTTCAGGTCTGGAACTTCACTTACCCCCATGTTAGACTAGTCACCATTTAAGACAGCAGTTCTCAGCCTGTGGGTCGCGACCCTTTGGGGGGTCAAACAACCCTTTTACAGGGGTCACCTAAGACCATCAGAAAACACATATTTCTGACGGCCTTAGGAACTGAGACACCGTTCCTCTATCGTCTCCAGGCAGGTCTGCCCACATGCAGATACGCCCACACACAAGTACCCGGTGTGAAGACTGTTACCCATGCTACACCATGTTTCAAGACAAATTTCATTTATTTGTCATTAGAAATAAATATTTCACAATATCTAATTATATACTGTTTTGTGATTAATCGCTATGCCTTAATTATGTGCCATTTGTAACAATGAAAATACATCCTGAATATCAGGATGATTCATAAAAGTAACAAAATTACAGTTATGAAGTAACAATGAAAATAATTTTATGGTTGGGGGGTCACCAAAACACGAGGAACTGTATTAAAGGGTCATGGCATTAGGAAGGTTGAGAACCACTGCTCTAGAGACAGTGCCCTGAATTCAGACTTCTAGCCTCCTGAGCCAGGAAAAAATAAATTTCTCATTAATGCCATTCATTTGTAGTATTCCTTTTATAGCAACACGAGATAACTAAAATAGGTAGTCTTCCAGCTATCATTTCCTCTCAGCTCCAGATCCACCCTTCTTTGTTTTACTTGTGTTACTGAACCGGACCTAAAAGCATTTCTCTTTTGCCAGCTGGTATAAGATCTAAATTCTGTCAATAGAAGTAGGAGGGACAATGCACAGTCAGAAAATGAGAGAAAGACTTATTTTCGTGGTAATGCATTGAGGCTTTTATTTGTTTATTTTATTTACTTGTTTTGGTACGCTGCCAGCTGATCGAGCTGTGGGAGGCCTGGTGGCACTCATCCTATTGGGTTCCTTCCCACCAACCACTCGATTCATTCACACCTTCCAGTGAGCTTGTATTTTAGGAACTGTGGAGTAATTTATTTTTTATTTCACATTCTAAGGCCAGGAATAAGATGAACAAATGGAAGTCAACAATAAGAAGTGGAAGTTTTAGAAATGGAAATTCCTAAAGGAAAATATTTAACAAGGATTGTATCAGAAACACTCCAAGAACAGATCTGCCAGGAATATGAGCTCATGGACACCATGATCCTAAGGACAGTTTAGTAAATTATGGGTAAACCCCTCAGATGATGCAGTAAGACATCCTCTTTCCCAAGAGAGAGAAAGCAGGGAAGTGAATCTCATCTTCAGGAAAACCATTGCAGAAGATAGAGACCAGGAATGTTATAAAGGAGGAAAAAATGCTTTCTACAGCAAGTAGCCCCCTCATATACGGATCTGTGGCCAAAGCTTCACTGTCAGGATTAACTGAACATCAGAAAGTTGTTTTGGTGTTTTTTTTTAACATTTTATTAGGGGCTCATACAACTGTTATCCCAATCCATACACACATCAATTGTGTAAAGCGCATTTGTACATCGTTTCTCAAAACATTTTTCTCTCCACTTAAACCCCCGACATTAGGTCCTCATTTTTCCCCTCCCTCCCCGCTCCCCCCTCCCTCATGAGCCCTTGATAGTTTATAAATGGGTATTTTGTCATATCTTGCCCTGTCCGACGTCTCCCTTCATCCACTTTTTGGTTGTCTGTCCCCCAGGGAGGAGGTCACACACAGTTCCATGTAATCGGTTCCCTCTTTCCTACCCATTCTCCCTTTACCCTCCTGTTTTGCCACTCACACCACTGGTCCTATAGCGCTCATCAGAAAGTTATTACTGTAAAGAAAACCTATGAATGTAAGGAATGTGGGGAAACTTTCAACAGAAGTTCCTACCTG